GAGAGAGAGAGAGAGAGAGAGAGAGAGAGAGAGAGAGAGAGAGAGAGAGAGAGAGAGAGTCCCGGCGGGGACTGCACGCTCTCTCTGTTGCGCCTTCCCCACACGATGGAAAAGAGAGCTATTTTTCATACTTCGTTTTTGTCTTCTTTCCACACTCTTTATAAAGGGAAGGACGGGTCTCACGTGACGGTCCCGCGAGGCCAGCCTCCCAGTGTTGGGAAAATGGGTGGGGGCAAGTTGCGGGTCTAAGTGAAACCAGTACGAAGCGAGGGATGTCGGATCTCATGCGACCCTCCCGCAAGGCAGGCCTCCCAGTGTTGGGAAAATGGGTGGGGGCAAGTCGCAGCCTAATGGAAACCACTACAAAGTGTGCGATGTTTTTGCTTTTGGCCAGCTGGTGCATGTTTGAATACAAGTACATAGTGCAGCAACGTGTAGATTCAATGTTTTTTTTTTTCAGTAGATTCTATTTTTGTTTTTCTTTTTTCGAGCTGGTGTAATTTTTGATGCTCTAGGTCCACTACTCGCAAGGTGCACAACAGACAAAACACATTTGGTGAATAGTGGAGCGAGGGCCGATCTCACTGTTGTGCTCTAGGGCTTCACGCCAGTAATCACGACGTGCACAAAAGATGAAGTATGGCGGTGTATTTGTCCATGTTCTGGCACAAGATTCCTTTAAATTTTGCCGCGCAAAAGACAAAGTATGGCGGTGTATCTGCCTATGTTCAACATTTGGCGAGTAATGGAGTGAGCCTCAATCTCGCCGTTGTGCTCTTAGGGCCTAGCTCCGCTACTCACAACGTCCACAAGAGAGTTTTACGGTGTATCTGCCCATGTTTTGGTGGGTGTTTCATTCTCATTTTGCACACTGGGTGAAATAAATTTGGTGCGTAGTAGTGTTACGAAAGTGGTCATACCATTAATCAAAGGAATCGAGTGAGCCCGAGTGTAAGTCATGCGAATAAACTAACTCGTCGCTTTTATAACTTGAGGGTCCACGCGAAAAATGAAAACTTGGTATGGTTGCGAGATATTGACGCTTTGTGTCGACAATGGTTAATACGTCGGATTCAGCTTTTTGGTTGTGTCAAAGCAACACCAGAAAGTCAAAAAGACGCGCCAACAAAAAAATCACTCTTCGCTTGGCACCCTGCTTCACTTTAATGGTCCCAACATGTCCGAAGTAGTTGTTATGCTAAGGTTGCCAAAACAAAGTAAGAGTACAAAAACAAATCTTCTTTATAGAAGTACAAA